CGGCGGTTTGGCATTATCAAAACCTGTCATAAACGAACACAGTTTAGTACGACGTAGGCGTAAACCCGTGTTCCAACACGTTATGTAAAATCTGACCTGAACGGTACGCGCTTTCCCCCCCGAACGGGTCCGAATTGAGATCCGTTTGCGTTTCTGGAATCAGACAGTCAAGATGAATTTAATGATATGATCAAATAATTTTTCTAAGAACTTTTCATTTTCCCCAACTCCGGTCCGGAACATTAATTAATTATTTAAAATAATCAATTCTATTAGATCGAGTTGCAGGGCGTTACAGCCCTCATCGTCCTCCAAGATTAGCTTTAAGTTCACCATTTTCTTGATTACCTACGTGCAACAAAGAACAAAAGCTACGAGGTTAACATTCAAGCTAACTAAGAAATATCTAATATTCAATTATACATATCGACAACCTCACTAGTTCATAAGAGTACACGATATCATGCATATAAGTCCATCATAATTAACTGAACAACAATTCAATTCAAAACGGTAGGAAATGATACAAGACCTTATCCCTTTATTACTTTAGTCATCTAACTTACACGCTTGCCTCATAACATATTCTAGGTATAAGCTTATTCTAACTCTGAATTGCTTATTAGAGTCATGATCTTCCCATTCGGAACGAAGACCAAGTTCAACCCACTCGGGAGTTCCACATTGGGTGGGTGAAATCCCGGTCCCATTCAAAACGATAGTTCATAGATCCTCGTGCGCACGCTTGTACCCGGATAGTCATTGAACCCAGGTGCCACATAGCTCTAACCTTTTTTATACTTATGCCAAAACTCATCTTTTATCCATTAAGGTCAAATCCTAAAGTTCCTCTAGATTCACATATTACTTTAATGTTATATTGCACTCACAAGCGCATATCACATGGATAATCATAATCATTAATCATATCCAACATAATAAACCCACTCAACTGCTTAAGCATCTACCTAACACTGGGTACAAACACGTACTCAAGCTTACTGTCATGCAACAAACAAAGTCTCAGAATTTGTCCTCGATAGAAAACACAAACTTACGAACGAACTCTGGGTACCAGACGGTACCTAGTCTGGTGCGGTACCTGGGTACCGTCTAGGCGGTACCTAGACATACATAGATGATACATACAAATGGCTTAATTAGCCATGGTGGAATGTTAACCACAAGGGTGGATTAGTTATATGAAAGTCCACTTTCCTTTCAACATGAGGCCGGAACAAGCTGGTCATCATGCATTTACTTATGAATTGCCCCTACTGCAATGTACGTAGTTCTTTTCAGTAACACCCAGCTGGTTATGAGACGACATCGGGAAAGGGGCTCATTCTCTCTTTTCCATATTAAAGAAGTTCTTTGTGTTCATTGTTTGAAATTCAATTCTGTTAGAAGGTTATACTACCACTTTCTGGTTTGGAAGTTTAGTTCTATGTCTTTTTGTAAAAATAATAAAGAATGCTTTTATTGATTGAATGATAGAAGAGGAATACAAAGTACGTATTTATAGGTGGAGGAATATATTCTAGAATCCTCCACATTAATGGCTAATTATATAAGGTAATATTATATAATAATAACTCTAACTATAATAGGTAACAACCATAATTATAATATATAATATAAAACATATTAAATAATTGATATATTTAACATGCTCCCAACGTCCTAAACGGTGAAGATTGAACGCCAACTTTACTTGAATCGTAACCAGAATTGTAATCAGAAGCTAGAGGCATATCTTTGGCTAGAGTAGACTGAATGCATCCGGCCTGGAAGAGAAGAAGAAAGATTGCCGGGAAAGAGAAGTGAAGGCGCTGATGAAGAGAGGAGAAAAGCCGCTGCGAACAGACTCATGTTGCTGCCGTCGAAAGAGGGAGAAGGTTGACGCACGCTGGAGTTGTGCGCGACTGGTTAGAGAAGAAACATAAGGAATGAGGTACTGCCGGAGATGCATGTTGACCGAAGATCTACCCACTAATTGTGCCTCATGTTACTCTCAAGTGAACAGTTGCAATCTTGGCGCCATGAGAGGAGTAGGAATTGATTTAAACCTCTTCTTTTTTTAAAGTCGTCGGACAACAAAAGAAACTAGAAAACTTTATAGTTTCAGGAGATGGTGAAGAATTTGGGTCAAAGGAAAACAGTGATCCGGCGGGCGGCGGTTAATGGCGGTGCCGCCCGCCAGAAGCGAAAGCGGAGAAATTTAGGTCACCAAGAACGGTGGCTCTGATACCATGTAAAAATAATAAAGAACGCTTTATTGATTCAATGATAGAAGAGGAGTACAAAGTATGTATTTATAGGTGGATGAAATATTCTAGAATCCTCCACATTAATGGCTAATTATATAAGGTAATATTATATAATAATAACTCTAACTATAATAGGTAACAACCATAATTATAATATATAATATTAAATATATTAAATAATTGATATATTTAACATGCTCCCAACGTCCTAAACGGTGAAGATTGAACGCCAACTTTACTTGAATCGTAACCAGAATTGTAATAAGAAGCTAGAGGCATATCTTCGGCTAGAGTAGACTGAATGCATCCGGCCTGGAAGAGAAGAAGAAAGATTGCCAGGAAAGAGAAGTGAAGGCGCTGATGAAGAGAGGAGAAAAGCCGCTGCGAACAGACTCATGTTGCTGACGTCGAAAGAGGGAGAAGGTTGACACACGCTGGAGTCGTGCGCGACTGGTTAGAGAAGAAACATAAGAAACGAGGTACTGCCGGAGATGCATGTTGACTGAAGATCTACCCACTAATTGTGCCTCATGTTACTCTCGAGTGAACAGTTGCAATCTTGGCGCCATGAGAGGAGTAGGAATTGATTTAGACCTCTTCTTTTTTTTAAAGTTGTCGGACAACAAAAGAAACTAGAAAACTTTATAGTTTCAAGAGATGGTGAAGAATTTGGGTCAAAGGAAAACAGTGATCCGGCGGGCGGCGGTTAATGGCGGTGCCGCCCGCCAGAAGCAAAAGCGGAAAAATTTAGGTCACCAAGAACAGTGGCTCTGATACCATGTAAAAATAATAAAGAATGCTTTATTGATTCAATGATAAAAGAGGAATACAAAGTATGTATTTATAGGTGGAGGAATATATTCTAGAATCCTCCACATTAATGGCTAATTATATAAGGTAATATTATATAATAATAACTCTAACTATAATAGGTAACAACCATAATTATAATATATAATATAAAACATATTAAATAATTGATATATTTAACACTTTTTTCTTTTTCTTTTTGTACAAATTCTATGTCTAATTTGATGAAATGGCATGACATTTTATCTCATTGTCTTGTAATTTTTTTTCTTTTTGAGGGAGTCCTTAATTAGCATATGAGGTTCATCTTTATTTGTAAACATTATTTCTATTGAAATGATAAATTGAGCACTCAAAAAAAAAAGAAATTATAAATTGAATTGAGTGAATTCTGAAAATGTATTTCAATATATAACTATATATTTTTCCACATTAGTCTCCAAGATAAACAAATTGCCAAGATGATTCTCGTTAACTGTAAATAATGCTTAGTTTAGCTCTTTGACTAACGACATCAAAATGATGCTAAAACTTAAACTAATTTCTCAAAGTGGTCTTTTCTAATTGGTTGTTTTTTTCAAATTGGTCCATTTTCTAAATAAAAACACATTAAGTATTAAAAAATAAATTATATAAGATCATAATATAACAAAAAACTAATTATAATTTTCAAAATTATTTTTCTGATTGTGTACAATTATTTTAAAAATTATCATTATTCATGTAAATATAAAATTTATAATTTATTTTTGAAAAAATTATTGTCTTCGAAACTGATTCTCATTTCATAATACTCATTTCGTCCCAAGATAAGACTCATGTTAACAGAAAAATTTCTAGACACATTTTTAGTTGGGTAATTTACCTAAATAAGACTAAAACATAATGACTTTTTTTATATAGGATCATACGTTTTTATTTTCTAATGTAGGTACATTAGTCATTATTCAAGTAAATGTCTTACATTATAAAATGACTTATGTTTTAGTCCTATTTAGTGCAAATTTTTCTTTTTAATTTTATTTATTTAAAAATAACTTCGGTCGGACATTGTAGACCGAAGCAAGAGCTTTATTTTAGGATGGATGTGATCGTTTATGAAATAAAATATTTTATTCACGTGATATCTTTCTAAATATTTTTAAGTAATACGGAGTATAAAATATTTAATTTTAAATGTACTAAAATATATTTATAGTTTATTTATTTTATTCTCATCTTATAAAATTTAAAATTATCTTTCCTATATTTAACAAGTTCTATTTTCAAAAATAAACTAATTTAGAAACATACCCAATTAAAAAGGATTACTTTGGTAAATTAGCATTAGTTTTAACACTATTTTAACATCATTTTGACGGCTGCTAGTCTGAGAATTAAATTACATTATTCTCAAGTGAAATTTGCATTAAATATGACTGAAACATAAGTCATTTCTCAATGTAGGACTTAAACTTTTTTATCCCCTAAATAGGACTTAATAATGTCTAGTGGGAGGAATAATGTTCAGTAAAGATGGACATTTACTTGAATAATGACTAATTCACAATGACCAAAGGTTCTACATTGAAAAATAAAAACATACTGTATGATCCTATATTGAAAAAGTCATTATATTTTAGTTTTATTTAAGTAAATTTATCTATTGAGTACTCTGGGAGAGTGGGAGTAGTATCTAAGCAATTTGTTTGTCTTGACCTCTTGGGACTAATTTTTACTATCCAAAAAATATGGTTGAAGAGAAATTAAAGAGAAATAAAATTCCACACGGCTTTTCCACATTTTCAACAATTTCGCCTCCATTCCTGCGTGTGGACTCCAGTCTCCCCCCTGCGCCTCCCTCCTCTCCTCATCTTCTTCTTCCTTCTTCTTCTTCTTCTTCTTCTTCTTATACATTCAAATCCAAATCCAAACTCAAATGGACCTCTTCTGATTCCGATCCCTAGCGCAGCATTTCAACTTTTCGCTCTCAGGATTATAATCAGTGAGTTTCAAGTTCTTTGCTTCTGTTCCGATGTTCTTCAGTTTTATATATCTTCGATTGTTTGTCTCAGCTCTGGAGGTTTAGGTTTTCCTATGGATCTTCGGTTCAATTTTGTTTTCAGATCGGATTTCTGGTTTCTTTTTTCTAGGATAAAAAATAATAATTTATGTTTTCCTTTTTTGTCTACTGTGTCCATGTGCGTGTGTGTGTGTGTATAAAGTATTTTTTGAGTTGATTCATACTCCTTTTAAACCTTTAATCAGATTCGGTGTCTAAAAAGCAAATCCCTCTTTCTATGCTAGTAAATTATTCACTTTTGGTGCTACTTTTTATTATTATTCTTCTTTTTTAATTTCTTTATACTAGATAGGATGCTCTGGTGAATTTCAGATTAATTTTCAATCAATATAGAATGCAAAATTTTGTGGTTTCATTTTTGATTTTTCAGTGGGTGTGATTTTCCTCTTTTTACAAAAAGGAAAGTTACAAGAAAAAAAGGGTTATGGTGAATATTTGTGCCCAGTTTATTATGCTGACAATTAAAAGCTCTTTTTTTTAATTGTCTGTCTTTCAGATTTCTGGTTCATAAGCAGCTAGTGGGATTGATTGCTTGATTGTGTTCAATACCAATCTGCAGTTTCTTACTGCTAACAAAAATGGTTTCTGAGTCGTCTTGGTTTCGTGCTCTATGGAAAACGAAAAAGAAGCACGACAGTGAACCGGAGAAGCTCCGAGTTGGAGTTTTGGCGTTTGAAGTGACGAGCTTGATGTGTAAGCTGGTTCATCTATGGAAGTCTCTAAGTGATGATCAGGTGTCGAGGTTAAGGGACGAAATAGCCAACTCACTTGGTATAAAAAAGCTTGTTTCCGAAGACGATGTTTACATTTCAAAGCTAATATGCAGCGAGATCAGCGAGAACTTGAGGAATATGGCATCAACCGTTACCAGGCTCTCAAAGAAATGCCGGGACCCACTCTTGAGGAGCTTTGAGCTGGCATTTGACGAGCTTCTTAAACTCAGTTCCGACCCATATGGATGGCAACTGAGCTGGAAGAAGATGGGGAGGAAAGTTAAGAAGATGGAAAGATTCGTTGCTATCAATGCTAATTTGTACAGAGAAATGGAAACACTTTCAGACCTCGAACGGACTGTGAGGAGAATGAAGGTTGGTTGTGGTAATAGTGTCGATCCTCCCACGGATACTGTTGTTTTACTTCTTGAGTATGAGAGAAAGGTCACCAGGAAGAAAGATGAAGTGAAGTATCTTAGAGAGGTCTCTCTTTGGAACAGGAGTTATGATTATACTGTTTTTCTTTTGGCAAGGTCTGTGTTCACTATATTTAGTAGGGTTAGGGATGTTTTTGGGATGACTGATAATCAGGAAGTCAAAAACTTGAAACTTGTTGAATCCGATTACATCTTCCGGAGCCAGTCGGTTGCATTCTCACATTCATCTGTGCATCCCACTGAGTACAAGCTTTCTAGATTTTCCTCAGAGCCCTTTGAGAGTCATCTCCTAGCTAAATCCGGCCCAGTTCTAAAGCCGACCAAAACAAGCACATTTTTTTCGGGCCCACTCCAGAATTCTAACACCGTTTCAGATGTAGCAAGTAGTAACACACTTAACTTCTACTCAGGCCCTATGGAGATGCCATCGGAAAAGCCTCACTCAATCACCAGACCTAACAAGCTTCAAAAATGGTGGCATTTAAGAGGAAAACTCCAGATTTCAAAAGCGGCCGAGAAGCGTCCTACGCCTGTAGGACCTCTGTTAGCGTGCGGGGCCAGTTCTCCTTACCTAAGTTCATCGTGTAGGTTGTTGATCGAAGCGCCCCCAGACACTCTAGGGGCAGCTGCCCTAGCGCATCACTACGCAAACATCATCATTGTAATAGAGAAATTTGTGGCGTCCCCGCACCTGATAGCGCCAGACGCTAGAGAAGACCTCTACAACATGTTGCCTGCAAGCATAAGGGCAGCCCTTAGGGCAAAGCTAAAGCCATACGCAAAGACTCTGAATTTGGTAGGACATGATATGTCCCTTGCGGAAGAATGGAACGAGGCGATGCTGGGGATATTGGGGTGGCTGGCCCCACTCGCCCATCACATGCTCAGATGGCAATCAGAGAGGAGTTTTGAGCACCACCGCAGCTTTGTCTCAAGAACATTCAATGTGTTCCTTGTACAAACTCTTTACTACGCAAACCAGGAAAAAACTGAAGCCACAATCGCCGAACTTCTTGTTGGTTTAAACTACCTTTGGGGATACAGCAGAGAGATCACTGCAAAAGCAATAGAGAAACATGCCGGTGAAAGACCTTTTGAGGAAGATGACGACTCCGATGAGTAAGAGGATTTCAAGGGGATAGGGAGAAATTCAAACAACTTGAAGGGTCTTTCATGAACTGCAGTAAGATCAGACACATTAAGATCCGTTCGTTGCCTGTGCAAAAAAACCACTGAAACGACACGTCTTCTTGCAGATATGTAGCATCCAAGCGTTCATTTGGGTTCGAAAGGACCGACGGAGTAATATATCCACGGGAAGTTGGTAAATGAGCTCTTGAAGTTCTTTGTAAGTTTTATAAGTTACTTTGCCAAGGATTATTTTGGTAGATATTTGCCTGTGTACATTTAAATATTTGCTCAAAGGTTGAGTATGATTTATAGCATACATGTTGAAAGATTCATCTATAATATATGAGTGTAAATTGTAGATTTAGATTTAGATTTTTCTTATTTTGAATTATTGTTGTACATATCTCTATCTCTTTAATCTCTCTCTGTCTCAAGGATTTGCTTAGTTTGAGTGGTTTTACTACTACTCAGTCAGTTTAGTCCAAAATTATACCACAATCAGTTCAATTGATTATATTATCATCACGTTTTCAAAATCTGCATTTTAAATTCGAAGTATTCCACGGGGTGTTTCTTTAACTTCTGTGTTTGGCACGCTTTGAAAATGGTATTTTAAAAGCGTCAAACGTTAGCATTTCTAAAATTAATCTCTAATATTTTATTGGAAAATTATTCATACGGTGAATGCTGGTTGAAAACTCTATTGCCAAACAATGATTATCTCTCTATATCCATGCTTACTAAATAGTTCTCCCTCCTCTGAATAAACATCTTTGGTTGACTTTTGAGGAATTCAAGGACAAAGTGTTGAAAAGTGACAAATGACTAAATGAGGGTTAGAAGTTGATGAGGCGAGAAATCTTTTTGGCCACATAGTTTTATTCTTTTTAAGAAAAGTGAAGATTATTTTGCGACAGTCAAAAAAAAAGATTATTGAGGAAAGGAAGGAGCATCTTACTTATTCAAGTTTTTTTTTAATTTTAAAAATTAATAAATTAGGGTCAACATATTCTTTGCCCTTACTTTCAACGTGTATTTGTAAAGAGTGAATAGTACCCGTATTTGTGAAGAGGATCGGGCAAAAGGTAAGGTGAGTGGCGAAGTGACCGCGTACCCTTGTATGGTCTAATTTCTTTTAGCAAAACCCTAACGTGGAAAACCCGATGAGTTAACTTGAACTTTGAATTATTCTAACTTTCACCTTATTTCTAAGAGATATGTACAAACATTAAAGAATGTGAGATGAATTATTCTACTTTTTCACCTTATTTCTAAGAGATATGTTTAAACATTAAAGAATGTGAGATGATTAATTCTATTTTTCACCTTATTTTTTAGAGATATGTACAAACATTGAAGAATGAGAGATATCGACCCTATCTTCTCTATGAATGAGGTAGAATAAGAGTTGAGTGACCCTAATAACATGACCCATACATTTGGAGTTGAGTTTTTGGCTAGTAGATATTACACTCTACCATGTCTCCATACATATACGCCATACATATGTACGTACATAATAGTATAATAACATACCTTTGATAGATGCATGCACATACATACATGATTCAAAATCCAATTGCTAAACACCAAAAAGACGGAAAATCTTAATCAAACCACAATGAATTTTTATAAAGAATAAATTCTATAATTGGTCCTTTATAACAAGAGAGTTTCCCTATTTAGTCTTCTATTATCAAATATTATCCCAGTAGTCCTTCATTTATGGGTATCTTTCCACAAATAGTCATTTTTTTGATCTTCAATCATGTTTGTATTAATTTGAGAGCTAAAATTGTAATTTCACAATGATAATATATCTTTTTTGTCATACACAATTCCAAAGGTTGTTCCATTTGCGTCGTTTGTGAATTACAGTCGCTTTCTACTACAATCAAGTCTACAAATGTGGTCTTTCGTCTAAATTTTAGTCCACAATCATAGTCATTATTTTTGTGTTATTCGCTTAACAAAAATCAGAACACGTCACTAGACATAATGTTGATGTCAAATTATGCTTTTAGCCTTTAAATTAACACCAACTTGGCAGAAGATCAAAAAAAGGACCATTTGTGGAAAGACATCCTTAAAAAAAGGACTACTGGGGTAATATTTGATAATAGAGGACTAAATATGGAAACTCCCCTATTATAATAGACCAATTATGGAATTTACTCTTTTATAAACAAACAAAACGCAACGCCACCTTATTTGATATTTTAAAACAAGGGCTCGGTCTATTTTAACATAATCATTTGATTTCACTATTTATATGTGAAACTATTTTTTTACTTTACTTATTTTTGTTAATCATTTACTTATTTTTGTTAATCATTTATTACCTTCGTCATATAGTATTTACTCAATTAATTTTATTGAGGTAGGATTGGTTGGGTTGTGAGTGTTAGAGTGTGGATGGTCTAGAAGGGCATATTACAACTCTTATACTCCCACTTATCTCAAATTTATCATTCCATTTTTTTTATGACAATGTCAACCAATTTCATTTTCAAATCAATTTATTTAAAGAGTGATGTAATATTTCAAAATAAATATTATACGGAGTATAATTTAACAAATACATAAATGCTTCATAAAATTCTCCGTAGTAAAAATACAATTTTTAGAACATAGAGAATATGCATTGAAAGTGTGAACTTTTTCATGTGATTGATAGTCTTTACTTAAAAGGAATATTAAACATTTATTTGGTTTACGAATTAATGACCCATTATGGTTGTGGTCATCAAGCAAATATGGGGGGAATTGGACTGGTTATTAATTACTGAACACAAATGCACAATTGAGTCAACATAAATTGTCTAACTAATGAACTCATAATTAAAATCCCATCCAAAGATGAACAATGCAATACTGTCAAACTGTAAGCCACCACAAATTACCTAAACAAAATATGAGTGGTACAATTTTTCTCGAGCATAAAATGCATTCTACTGTAAAAACTAAGAAATCCATAGGTTATGACATAGAAATATAAGAAACTATAAATATAATGCTAAAATTAATAATAATAATAATAATAGTAATAATAGTAATAATAATAATAATAATAATAATAATAATAAGTACGAAAGTCAGCGGATAACACTTTCAACACAGCTTCATTTTTCGTTTGCCCAAAGATTGGGAAGTGTACTTCACCTTTGTTTTCTCAGGCATTAATGGTGGATTTGTAGTGCCACTCATCGATTGTGGAGTAAACAAGCCCATCTGATTCCAGGGATTCAATTGCTGCTAAGATTTTTTCAGGTGGTAGATTCAGCTTTTGAGCAAGCTCATTCCGGTGAACCCCTTTCTCTTGTGCAACGCACGAGGGCTGCTGCATGTAGTTCAAGACCATCTCCTCTACGCCCGTGACTTTGTCAGTGGTGAACCCGGCAAAATTTTGCTGGGAAACTTGGTACCCCTTCATGGGTGTGTTGGTACCTGGATTCGGCATGTGATGAGAAGTGCCCTCTTGAAGCTTGCGCGACTTCGTGTTGTGGCAAAAAGCATAAATGGCTTCTGCAAAGTGATAGGGGATCTCGTTGTAATCCTCAACTGGCCTGACAGAGTAAGTCATCAGCTGTTTCTTGCCCTGAAACCCCTTCAAGTGTCCGTGGACTTTGACGTACATCCCATTTGAGATGGCTCCCATTTCGGTCTTGTCAAATGGTTCATTCAGCCACCGGTAGCAGTCAATGCGTCCGGTTCCATCATCCAGTGCAAATGAAATATCGGTTGCCCGATCAGCTATGTTGAACACAATGCCCACTAGTTTCACATTGTTCACATCAACACCATCTACTAGAAAATTTATCTTATCATCACTCGTTTGGACAGCATCAATTATCTGCTTCACTGTCAGGGGAAGCAATGACTGTGCATCTCGGCTCTTGGGTGCAGAGTAGGAAGGATCGGTAGCCGATTGAGTCGCCTGGGACTGCATGTAGCCACTTCCTGAAAAGGCTGCATTGCTGTCAAAAGAGGCATTCCCACCATACATCTCTTCTTTTGCTTTGGATCTCCTGCCTTATCCCTTCTTTCCCACCTTACTGTGGTTTTGCAATTTTACTGCATTTTCACAATACATAATAGAAATCAAGTATTTAAGGAGTAACCCAAAAGCATTAGTGAAAAGGCAGTAAAAGTGCAAGAATAGTGACAGTCCATCAGAACAAGGAACTAACCATAGTCTTTTACCATACTTTACTTTAAGGGGGTGTTATGGAGTACTTTGTTAAAAAAAACTGGTACACAGAACATTGAAAGATAATAGTGAGAAGTTTATAATGAAGATATGAGAAATAAAACCATGGGAAGAAAAGAACAAGATTACAAGTAGGACATTTTAGAATAAAAAGATTAAATTAGAATAAGACAAAAGTGACTCAAAAGTAATTTAAGCAAGGAAAAACATAGTAATTTGTAAATGTTATTTTAGAGCAATAATACCCATTTGTATTATAGTTACAAAACTTTGAAGCTAGCTAATACAATAACATCCTACGCAAAGTTCAAATTTAGACCATAAATCTATAAAAACACTCAGTATAAGATTATCTATCTTTTTGTACTAATAATCTCTACCATCCAAGGTTCACGCTAAACTCAACAGAGAATACACGATAGCAAATGCCAAAAAAAGGTTTTCTTTTCTTACAGTGATACATTTTCTCTTTTCTTTTTATTTCAAAATTGTAGAGTTGGGGTGAGAGAGACACAAAAAGTTGCAGCAAATGATAAATCATATACTTCCTCTGCTATCAAACACAACCATTAAAATGTCATTGCAAAATAACCTATGAAATAAATAAAAAGTTCCACAGCCAAAATATACTAGATAAACAAATGCTAAGAACATAAAAAAACAAAATCAACAAATTGGAATTCGAGACTATAATTCCAATTTTGCTGTTTGGTAGCACAAAAATATATAAATTTGGAATTGGTATTGCCAAAAATGAATTAGAAAGAATCCAATACCATCCAAACCAATTCAATTCAAATTCTGTCAATTCTAAGTACCAAACAAATCCTAAACAAATGCTAAGAATGCACAAAAAAACACATTGAGTATCACCATCTAGCCTAGCAGAGCAATGGAAATTACAGTATCTATATTAGCATATATACTCTGTAGAAGTTAAAACTGATAGAGTTAGAGACCATGTTCCCTAACTTGATGAGATAGTACAAGTATAGTTATGAACGATCCAAAACCATAAAATTGAAATAAATACTAGAATTTTAAATCGGAAACACAAAGGGCGTTTTTTTCTACGTACAGCCATTTCATTGCGAAAGGTGAATCCGATACAACGAAATCTGAAAACAAACCCTAAAATCGGATTTCCCGAACAAGTAGAACAGAACTTACGGCGGATGCGACGAAAACGCCACCGAGTGCCGGCGTCACGGTTGCGGAGTAAGCTGACTGTGGCGCCTTTAGGGTTCCACACCAAGATCAGTTCTCCGGTAATTAAATACTGGAAATTCTACTTCCCTCCCAAATCAATGGCTTTCCCGCCATCCCGCCCCCAACAATTTTCCAATTGTGCGCCAGTTTATTTTTACTCATTTGAATGTTTAATTGTTTAGGCAAATTGTTACTCCTTAGTCCCTCCCTCCTAAAATTAACTTTATAATTTGATTTTTGCAATCAAATTTTTTAAATTTGGATGCATATTCCGGTCAACATAAATTGAAAATTCATATAAATTTTTAATCAATATGTATATTTTGAAATATATAATTTTAATAATATATACGGACTATTATATACTCCGTATAAAATAGAGATATCAATAATCAAAATGACGTATTAGAAATCGTGAGAATTTAAGTAGAAAATTAATTTTAGGACGGAGAGAGTATATAGCATTTGAGTTTATAATGATTATATGAACTTTTATATTCAAAAACTATAACAAGATTTAGTTTCTTATAAAAAATGAAAGATTTACTTGTCTGACCATGAAAATAGAGAGAAGACTCATTTTTTATAAGAAAATGAACTAAAATAGGAATAAAACACTGAAAATATATTAAAATAAGAGTTTAATGTTTTTATTTTCGAAGTAGGAGTTAAAATGCATTTACATTATCAGTCATTACGATATATATTACGTAAAATGTACATGTACAATATCACATTATTACAATGTGAACTTCTATTTATTAAATAAAAACATAAAATTTTTATTTTGATATTTTTTTCTATATTTTAATCATATTTAGAGTGATTTCTTTATTTGATATGTCAATGTTAAAACTACCAACATACAACTTTTACACTAATGGTTTATATTTGTCTCATTTGATTATTTAAACTTTCTTTTTTAATAAAATATTGCATCTAAATTTTCTTCTTTGCCTTTCTATTTGTTTCCAAAATATTTACACGAATATACACTTAAGCCACGATCATAATTTACCAGCACTACTTTTATTTATTTAAAACTAAAATTATTAATGATCAAAATACACATTTTAACCAAAAAGTCAAACTATCCCTTTATTTTCGAACGAATGGAATATATTTTTATGCTCAAATAAATATCTATATATATTTCCATCAATATACTCCCATAGATGTCCTTATTTCCTATTTTTGTTTTGACAAATGAACGTGGAGTTTCTCTAATAAAAAATGGGTCCATCTTAGTCCATGGATGCCCCTATCCCACGGCCTAATTTTGTTCAGAAAGGGAGAAAATGACTAGAAGTCGTTTTCTCTAATTTTCATTATTTGTAAGCTTTTAACGTGTCAATCCTGAGAATCATTTTTTCATTCACTCTTTAACCAATTTTGGCATATAATATGTCAAAACGTATGTGTCCCTTAAGAGAATACATATATATTAATTAACGGTCTAACCCAACGAAAATTATGTCCAAGATCGGACGCTTAAATGCCGCTCATTGTGCACTTCATCTTTCAATCGAGGAGATGAGCCGCAACCCCGCCATGATTGCGAACGCACAAGAGCCACCTTACCACCACTTGTTTCTCCATTACCATCACATAAGAGCTATTATATGTGTTTTCGGGGTTTTTTATTTCAGACAAATCTTCAATTGTAGAAGACCTTTCGGTTTCGGGTCTTCTCCTTTGAATTGAGCATTCATCTCTTACATTTTCCATCTCTTACTTTTTCCATCTCCCCTCAAGCATTATCACAAAAGAAAACTGAATGGAAATTGTCTTTTTAAAAAATCACTTTCCAAGTCATTTTCAAGAATTCATTTCTCTCCAAACAACCTTTATTTCAAATCCTTAAGTTCAATATAATACTTTCGATAAATATTTACATTCACCATGGATAATTTCATTTCATGCAAACTTATTTTTCCTTATTTATTACTACTCCGCATGTTATTTTTCAGTTTTAGATCGAGCAATAGAGTTCTCATTCGTTTTTTTCATAACGGTCAAAATTCAAAAAAGTTGCATCTTTTGATTTAAAAAAATTGAAGTTATGTTAGAAGCAAAAACAAAACTAATTTTAGAACAACGGATTTGGAGAATTGGAGGTAGCACCCTACAGATCAGATCATGTTCTAGTAAATTTGTACCAAACGAACTACTCAATGGAGAAGAGGGAGGAAAAATATTTTGGTACAAACGACAATAAAAAGTATAAATTTAAAAAAAAAAAGTATTAAAGTGAAACATTTGAAATTTGAAACTCCCAACAGTTCACGATTTGAAGTCGTCCCAATAAATAAAGTTGTTCGGAACAAAATTTTGAACAGGATAGGCTCTTTAGAAACATTATTTAAAATTCTAGCCAACCAAGTGTAGCCACATGGTGTTGCGCAATTGGCTAGCTAGTTGCGTACCGATACACTATCAACCTTTTGAAAGTCGCACAACAAGCAAATTAGAGATTTCAAATGGTATCCAGGTTCGACTCCTAGCAAGACAGTGTGAGATTTTTATGCTCTGCATAAGGTCCTTGTTAGGACTAAAGACAAATCTCACTCCATGTTTAGACTAAGATTATAGCTTCATTTACCTTAGTAACAAAAATGCAACTGCAACTGAATGTATGTACATCCGGGGCGTGCAATTTGCCCATCCATTTAGAAACAAAGATATAATCCATTACATGATCATCTAGAAATGGGAATGCCCCATTTGGACCTTATGCTTGATGATGAAAAAGAATGTAACAGCAAATGGTCCTATGCCCACTATGATCCACTACAGTTACGACGCGGGCAGTCTTACCTTATTTGTATAAAGAAAGTGTTTCCATTTTTTGAACCCGTGGCTATCGCGCCAAAAACAACCTTGGGAAGCGAGTCCACCCGAGATTCAATGAAAGTACAACTACTTTTGTGTATGAACAAAATTGAAGCAAAGCTGTCATAGCAGAAGCCTTTGAATGTGGCTGAAGTTTGAGTTCAGAGCTGCAAAGAAAGCACCTGTGAAAAACTTGCATCAGTTATATTGAGTACTCCATATATGACAGTTAAAGAGAGGGGAGTGGAATTTTATTTTGTGTTGAGTTAATGTGGAGGCATATCATGACATACCTCCAACCTTCCCATCAAACACGCGATGATCAGCAGATAGTGTCAGGTTCATTTTTGTGAAAACACCGGGCTTTTCGATTCCTGGAAAGTGAATTGGATTATAAGCTTTTTTCTTTTAAATGAATTTTTATAGCATAGAAATAGTACACTATTATTTCACGATGTTACCATCGGGACCAACAATCAGCTCAACAACTTTGTTCCCCCTACCAACAGCAAGTATACCGGCCTGAGAGAGACCCAGATTATAATCGCAGAGAGTTTCAAAACCAACAAAAAAAAACTTTTTAAAAGGCAGGCAAGAGAGAAGAAAAACCTGAGGGGGGTTAATGATTGCACAAAATCGGTCTACTGGGAACATCCCCAAGTTTGAAATACTGCATAAAGACCGCATGAGATATGCCATCACATAAACTGATAAAAGGAAGCATTTAATGCTTAATAAATCTAAGCTCGGCAGCCAAATTGATGGTAATATATATAAGTTTACCTGAAAGTGCCGCCTTGGAATTCATTGGGTTTTAGCTTTCCACTTCGAGCCTTTTCAGCAAGTGCCTTGACCTGTTCATGTGAGTAGATGCAAAATCAAATTAGGCGCAAAAAAAAGGCCTCGAATACAATGTACTACACCAAGGAAACAGAATTTGTGCCCATGCCAAATGAAGGAAAAATAAAGCTCAAATATACTGGTAGTTGTAAATAGATGTAGTCCCCAAAAAAAAGAGTCGTGTTTGAGTAATATTTCAAGTATGCCAGAATTCTGGTTTTTTTCCATAAAGCTTGACAAATGATTGGTAGATATGCTAAAATCAAACTTTTCTAGGCAATCAACATGTTGTAGCTGGATTTAATAATCCTTTATGCCCATAATTAGAAAAGGAGAAAAAAAGAAGGGCAGATTAAACTTCGCTCTTTACAAGTTACCACCTCTAAGGAAATAGCCGATATCGATTTTTGATCTGCATTCCTAATAATAGGAGTCATCAATCCCTGGAAGACAAAGTCAGACATAAGAAGAGCAATGTCTTCATAAGGAATAGTAATTGGAGCATGTGGTCTATTAAAATAACCTTTTCAGTAGCAACTGCAACAGATATGTCAACAGAGTCACACAAAACAACTTCGCCTTTTACGGAATCCCAGTATGCTGCCATGGAAACAGAAAGCAAATTTTCAGAAAAATGACACATAAAGTAGAGAACATATAGCCCTTGAACCTTACAATATGAATATATGCTATTGCAATGCTAAGTACCAGAGGGCATTAGTTCACTTAAAAATAAAATTGGCATGTCAGGAGCTTCATGTTTACTACTCCGTACTTTACTGTGGTTAACAATTATGAACGTAAAAACAGCTTGAACAATAAAAATATATATACTACAGCACAATACCATTCGCTTCTGGAACATTTTTTAGCGCAATAGCAACAGCTTTAATGACGATGTCATTTACTGAGACTTTGGCATCATACTTTTCTGCAAAAATAAATTTTAAAGAAGGTAGATGAAAGTATGATGGAGAAAATGCAATATTGTTTCATGAAAGAGTGGGAGTTAGATAGGTAAATTTTAATATTATATACCTTTGAGTTCCTTTCTGAAGAAAATAAGAGGATCCAAGATAACATCTGGTAAAAAGCAAAGAGTTAACTTAGAAGAATTTAGAGAGCAAATGATTTATATAATTTTTTCAATGTTTTTCAGCATGCATGTATTACACATGTTTATGATTTTTTCGGATATTTTCATTCTGCACAGGTTAATAAAATGGAAAACCTTTGAATAACTAAAAATGAGGTGAGGATTGCTTTAACTTATACCAATTTAGAGAGCAATTGTTTCCACAATGTTTTTCAGAATGCATGTACTACAAAAGTTTAGAATTTTTTTGCATGTTTGCACAGGTCAATTAAATGGGAAACCTGCAGATAAATATAAATGAGGTGTGGATTGCTTTGATTCCAACAGCCTAGCTGCTATCACCTGCAATAAAAAAGGGATGTTTTTTAATATTCCGAGTTATATGTGGAAACAAGTGGTAATCCAAAATGAAATGTGATAGCAATCCACAAGACCTGTTACACATCTGATGCTCTACAAGCAAAAAAAGAAAAACAATTGACCACTCAATACAAACCAAAGGACAAAGGAGAGGATAACAGCCAGGACAAAACCAGTGTGAGATATGCAGCTTAGTAATGTTTTTGAAAAGACTTAAAGGAACTAGTGCCCGTTCATGAAAACTAGCCCCGGACAAGTCAGGAAGCTAACTTGTAAATTTCTTTGATTGTGATGAAGATGAAGTATTTTTTTACTTTTAGTTTCAAATCAATCACAAATCTTTTATGGATTTTTTTCTGATACTTTGGGAGATATTCAAGATCAAGAATGGCAGAAGTTGAAAAAGAGTTTCCAAGAATTATTTCACGGGCATTTGATTTTGGTAATTATCACTGTCATTCCATGATAATTGGACGAAAAGCTTGGGTATATCATGAGGCTTTGAAGGATCTGATATTGGCAAGTTTGGGAAGGTGGAAGACACGATTCTTGAAGATCGTGTTATGATGTACTAACATATATGTGAGAGAAAAATCTTGTGGAAATTTTTCCATAGAAACTTTAGAGTTACAATACTAGCAAGTTTTCTTCAATCGTCGAGACTGATTACAATTATTTTTGGGTTGATAAATCATAAATGCACTGCCTTTCAGGTTGCTAAGTTCAATTCACATAGAGATACGAAAGAAACATATTCCTTCTTTGACTAGGGACACTCATTAGAAGTAAAACAGAATATACAGAACATGAGTTTAGTAACATAAATGGGAATCATGTAGGACCTCAAGCGCTACAAACTCTTCTAAAACCAACCAACTCTTCTAAAACTAATTGGTTTTAGAAGAGTTGGTAGTGCCTAAGGTCCTACAAGAGCCAAAGTCACGAGTTTGATCCCCAACGGGAGCAATTGCTGAGGGAGAGATTGTTGCCCATGTGTGCATCAATTGTCGCATTGTGGAGGCTATGTGGGCCAAGTCACACTCGAATGTCGTGGGCACTTGTGTATGCTGAATGCACTATAAGACTGAGGTATGCGCTTCTTCTAACACCAATTGGTTTTAGAAGAGTTGGTAGCGCAAGAGGTCCTACATATCAAAGTTTTGTGACTTTAGAGGAACAAGATATTCCAAGCAGTGATCGTTTAGGACAGGACAAACACATTATGCAAACAACAAGAGAAGATACATATTGGACATTATTTCTCAGATGCAGAGTGCGGTGGTAAAAGAGAAGATACCAAATACAGGGTTATTTTAGGTATAGAAGTACCTTGCGTATCTGACTGTTGGGCAATTCTTCATAAGAATCTTGTTGCTTGGGATCAGATTTCGGTCCCGGTGATTCTGATGCAGTTAGGGTGTGGGTCTGAGATGAAGAAGGCATTGCCTCTTTAACAGAAGCAACATTGGAGGTTCCTTTTCCAAGCTTTATCACGGCTAAAACATCACCTTTTAATAGAGTCCCACGAGGACCAGAAGCTGGAATTGACAAGGCATCTAACCCATGTTCTGAAATTAACATCTTTGCAGCAGGACTAATTCTGTTAAAACTTTTTTCCTGCTGTCTACTTCCATTTGCAGTGTTCTGGTGGATAGGCTTCTGCTCTTTCACGACGTTACTAACACTGATAGATGATGCCTTCACGGATTCAATGTCATCTGCATCCTCAACCTTGGAACGTGAAGGGAATGGAATTAGTTACAAAAACAGGGCGCCCAAATATGCTATCTTGCATTCTCCCTCTTATCCTATCTCTCACTCTTTGGTCCTAAGAAAGGAAGTCTGCAGTAGGTATACTTACTGTTATCGCAATAGGTTGCCCAACGGCAACGTCTTTTGAACCTTCAGGAGCCAATATTTTGGCTAAGAATCTGCACAGTAAATGTGTCCAAGTAAACCCATGTATTACAACTTCCGTGGCTTTCTATTTTTACATATTTGTTAATTATTCAAGAATATTCATCATTCAATTCAATATAGAAACTGCAATTTTCTAGGAAAAGTTACCCTTCTTCAAGGCTTTCAAATTCCAGAGTTGCTTTGTCTGTTTCTATCTCACAAAGAACATCACCAACCTCAATCTGCAATAAGAGCAAATAAATGGATAAATAATGAAAATACAAAAGAAAAGTACTTAATTATGGTAAGTGGTAACCACTTTGGGTAGAATAGAGCATCTAAACAGTAGATTCAATAGGCATACACTAACTTGCACCAACCTTTTCCCCCTCATGTTTTCTCCACTTAGCAATGTTACCTTGATTCTGCAAGTAGAAAATAATAAAATTAGTATTTAAAGTGGAATAGGTCATTTTCCATGATGTTCATGCTGATTGTACAGAATCAATATTGTAATCAGGCATGACTATAGCAACTATCTCAACTCAACCTGTCTCATAAGATTTTCAAGCAAGCAGAAAAAACCTATGATGGTGACAGTATTGAGATTCAGCGCATTATGCATTTGTAAGGTTGACTGGAAAGACATGTGGGGTCAAATCGTCACTTACTTTTTGCAAGAATTTATAATATTAAGAAAATTTAGGCAGTGTATTGGCACTAGAAACTTCACGTCCCATCCCGCCACACCCCCAAATAAACTTAACACTTTTTCACATTCCTCTTAGGAAAAGGAAAACTGCTCTCTCTTCAATCCATGTTCCAACCACAAACTTTTCCCTTTTTAACACTTTTTCCTAAACTATGTGAAGTCAAACAATAAACTAATACTCCGTAATAAACTTAATTATGATAGGAAGGAAGTAGACAAATAAATAAATCAGCATAGTATTTAGCCATTTAGGTGGAGGATAATGATGACTCACATAAATAGAAGAACAAAACATAGTAGTGTGAGATAGGGTTTAGGGTGCAGTTTGGTTTTGGTAATAGATCTGGGTTCACAAATTGGCAAACCCCAGCCCTTATCAGATGGATAATAAAAACTAACATAAGTCAGTTCTATACCAAACGGTATTTCTTACCATGGTTGGGGATAATGCTGGCATTCCAAGAACAATATGTGGAGGAAGGTTCGATGTGTCAATGCTTGCAGTAGTTGATTGACTTGATTCTGGAACCGCATCTCCCATTTGTTGTGATGCCGCATCGTCAACTTCTGAAACACCTTTAAATGTAGCAGGTACTTTCTGTATATCATCTGCATCTTCCACCTAATTAATAAGCTAAGTGAGTATCTAAGACAATCAGATGCTAGCAAACTCAACACGAACAGTTTGCAATTTATAATAAATGGAACCCTAAATGGGAAGCATTTGTTCCGTTCAAACACATTCTCCTTTCGGGACTCCTCAAACGTTTAGGGACCATTTTCATAAACAAATTAAAGTGTCAAGATCATTTTCAAACAAAGAGTAATATTTTAAACCTGTTCCTGGAAGGCTGGAAAGATGTGTTTTTTTCATGGACAAGCTGGTTTAATTTTTTAAAATAGAGACATTTTAAATCCATTGAATAGAAAGAAACATCTACTTCTCAGAGACTAAACCGCAAATATAAACCTTAAATGAACCTTAATCAGAGATTTAACATTGTTGACTCATGTTTAAGTTCAGCTGTTTGTTAGAAATTGTGTTCTTTATTTAAAATGCACAATCTCATAAAATATTGTCAGTCTTTCTATCATGTCCACCCCATGGACATGATAAGAATAATAAAATTTCTCATCTATTCACTTCCCAACACTCCCTCTTTTCATCTTTTACCGATTCCAATGTTCTGTCACTTGCCCCACGTTATTTACTAACAACTTTCTAGTCCTTAACATGTGTATAGGGAGGGTGCACATGTTAGAAAAAAAGTATAATTAATTGAACTAAAGACTTTAAATATCTAATTGTGAACTACCAAGACTTTCCCCTTGGCTTGAGCGGCAAGAAGACCACCCCCAAGGATTTTGGATGAAAAGCTCACCCAGATTTGAATTCCAGTGGAGACGTTGACTCTATGTGCTTTAGTAGGTTGAGAAGGTATATATGAACAAATACTGCATTGTAATAGAGTCTATAGTACTAAAAAACATCTTTGCATATTGTAAAGGAAACATATGTACATAAAGACTCTTGCGCATAGTTATTGCGGCGCCAAGGCGAGGTGTGGCGCAAGCAAACCGCCAGGACACCTAGTCGACTATGCGACCGCCTAGGCGACAACTCATAAATTATAAATATAATACCATTGATACAAATATACTATAATTCATACAAGATATTGTTATTCCTAGAGTAAAAACTTTATACTCAAAATACCTAATGATCATTTTAAACAAAATAAGGTACACAAATTTATTAGTTCCACCTGTAGATCCATACTCTTTTTGACAAAACCAGTTGTAATAATATTGAACAATAATTGTTAATTAATACTTAACTAATGAATAAAGAAAAAGTCAGAGAAGAGTTGGCCTGAAGAGTAAAGAGGATTATGTCAAATTTAAAGCGGAACCAGCCAATTAGCCAAGTTAGTAAAGAAAGAAAAAATAAAAAAGAGATAACTTTATGAAATTTAGAGGAGGAAAAAAATCCTCGTAATAGAGAGTATAATAAAAATGAAAAGACGTTTGCTGCAAAAACTAGGGTTGCGGCTAGGTAACAAAGTGCCGAATCTGGCAGCGACAAACGCATGCGGCGCCGAAAACAACAATCGCAGGATGAAAGCGGAAAGTCTCTTAATGTGATCGACGGAAGGAGGTAGGGTTTTAATTTAAGAAGAATTGAGCTTGCGATGACTTATTTAAAAAAATGGGCTTGCGACTTTTTAATTTCACGCCGTGAGGCGTCCACGACGCTGCGCCTGGACGTCTAGGCATCCGTAAGGCGACGTCTAGGCGAGGTATTGAAAATAAGGCGTGGCGATTGGCCATGGCGAGAGAAAAAGGCCGCTTGGACGCCTAGGCGACGCCGTGGTAACTATGCTTCAACGTTTGTAATATCTTAACATTTTTAATATCATGGAATGCATAAAAAGAACAATTGGCTATTAGTGTGGTTTGTTAGCAGAAGATTGCCATGGATGAAAGAGATTGAAGAGAATCACGACATTTTGAACATAATAAATGTGCACACGAAGTACCAAAGAAACTATAAATACAAGGAAGAATGTGATCTAAAGACTATAAAGCATTACCGTGATGGCTATAGGCTGGCCAACTTGCACATCCTTTGTTCCTTCGGGCATTAGTATCTTTGCGAGAAAACTGTAGAATTCCAATGGAGCATGAAAGATGTGCATAATATATAGCGATAATATATTAAGTTATTTGGTATGTGTTTAAATATATGAACAATATATATTTCATCTCTTCATGCTCTTGAGTGCATGAAAGGTCAGGTGGTGTAAAGATCTTGGTAGTAGGGGTGATTAAAACTAGTTAACCGATTTTCTTCAGTTAACCGGGATTTAAATTTTTGGGAGCAGTTAAACTATGACATTGGGTGAAGTTAAAATTTGAAGCATCTCAAAATATTGAAAATTTTGAATATACTTTTGTCCTTTCATTGAAAAGGACATCCAAAGGTGAGAAGTAGTGTAACAGTGGAATTAAAAAACAATTTGGGAAAGAAGGTTAAGCACTAAAATAACAAAAGGCAGCAACAAAAGGATGGTACACTAAAAAGGCAAGCAAAGTACTGGCAAACATCCACAATGCATCCCTAACTATAGAGCCCCTAATCCCCCAAGAGCGGTTGCACTCAACCCCTACATGAATAAACATACCAGAACAAACAGATGCATTCCAATAGGTTGCAATTACATACCCTTCTTCGAGACTTTCAAACTCAAGTGTAGCTTTGTCAGTCTCTATCTCACACAACACATCCCCTGCTTCTATCTGTTAGATGGAATCGGAATTAAACAGAATATAGAGACACAGAGGATTTGTCAAGGCACTAGAAACTCACTTTATCCCCTTCTTTCTTCCTCCATCTAGCAATATTTCCTTGATTCTAAAAAGAGAAAAGTAAGCATAACATTGTATCCACTACAGACATAAAATAAAAATAAAGCAGATTACCATTGTAGGTGATAGAGCAGGCATTGCTAGAACAGAATGGGAAATACTATCTGCAACAAATAAAGACAACAGGAAATCAGGAGGGCATAGAGAAAACATGAGTGATTAACTAGCCTAAATCAAAGTATCACAACATCAGTAATTTGACACTTGTTCAAACATCAAGTCTACTAGAAAGAAGGAAGGATAGATCCTAGTCAAATAGGATAAACAGACCCCCCCAATTTTGATAAGATGTGGCTAGTAAAGTATGATGTGGACATGTTGTTGAGAGCAACATTCAGCAAAGCTATTCTACTAGCTCGAATGAAGAATCCATGTAACCTAGATGACATGAGCAAATACCTATGGAAAATGTTTGAGAATAGAATAACATAAAATTGGTATGTCTTTAATTCTTACTAAGTTGACGGGGAATAATGACACAGATAAAGTAAGAATAATTGACATGAACTAGTTGACAAGGCAATATGCCACTTATAAAGTACTTCAGCTACTTTTAAAGTTGTCATAAGAGACTATTACCTGCTGATGAAAGACATCTGCAACCACTTGGTAACTACAATATGCACGTTACTCATCAGATAAAAGATGCAAGAATGAAAATAGAGAAAAATGAATATAAAAGATTCTTTTGATGAATAAAATAAAAAGTCCATTACTCTAACCTTCGACTTGGAAGAATTGTGACCAACTCCATTGAACATAAGAAAAGGTATAGGCCTGGATTTTTTTAATAATCAGTGAAACATGGAATCACATAATGTGACACCACTTCATCAAAAAAGATAAAAGTGTTTCAGCTCTGTAAGGATGAAATTCCACACCTTCATAGATATGACAAGCACCTAATATGTTCTCCTAGTAACAAATATATTCTACCCCAATACAAAAAACAACAATATTACCCCACCTCCTCAAAGGCTCCCGCCCAATGCGGGGTAAGGGGGTAGGAAGCACGCACTCTGACCTCTATGTTTAAAACATAGAGTCACTGTTTCCGGATGACCCGTGATGAGCACTAGAGAGTCGCGTTGGCTAAATGATACTTCACTATAAAACAAACAGAGACAGTTTACATTCGACCAAAAAGTACTCAAAAAATTTACGTCATGTGTCATAAGTATACAGACTGGAATTCAGCTATCCTCGAATTCAAGAATCGATGAAGCAACACTCACCAGTTCTCTTTTTGTAGAGATTATGAATCACATTTTGTGTGTGTTATTCGGATCAAATAAGAATGTTTGCTAATGAGAGAAATACAGAACCACATGGATCACTATCTAGTCACGTCACCGGATGGCTGAAAACTCATATGTACAGCCCCATAAATCAAGTCATCAAATGGCAAAAAAGACATGGTGGCATTTTGAGCATAGAAGTGCTAATTTGAATGTGCAAATATACAAATGTATTGATACAAAATGCATTATTTGTATGTTTACACAGGAATATTAGTCCACATAGGACTATAGGAGAGGTGTGTAAATTGATATTTCCTTAAGAAATGAAAAATAACTTGATTATCCATATCAAGATATTGTGTGACTCAGATCAGACTCAAACTAAACAATGGACATTTCAAAGTTTTGGAAAATTTTCATAGTGCATATATGGCAACATAAAACTGAGCATCAAACAAATAATTGATGTATGTGTTGCAACTATACACTTTTTCTTTCCTGTGTTTACACCATAAGCCATGGCCATGGCCATGTCCATACATGATAACATGAACTCAAACATGTGTCCCTGTGTGTGGACGCATAAACCACTACCCATTTATGATTACATGCACACAGAAAAGAAAGAATGGGGGTAGACAACCCCCTCACCCCACCCCAAAATCCAAGTGGGCTTAATCACTCTAAATGTATCTGTTCCCATAAGTGTAAAATCATGTGTAAGCTACTACAAAGAACCCATTATCTAAATATATAGGGTATTTATCAACAAGACAAAATCACAAACTACATCAAGGTATATCTGGGGAGTCGAGCAACAAAATTTTTAGAATAAAAGGAACAGTTGAATATTCAGACCTTGATAAAGTAACTTCAGGAATAGGATTTAGCTCCACGAAACTGCAATAAATGAAGAAAGAAAAAAGTCAACAAATAATCCATAGTTCAGTTAGAGATGTCCTTCATAGACATAAAAATGCATGGTTGCCATTGTTCCAGGAATTATATGATCATGAATTGATAATTCTTCACTTAAATCCCATTCAAATATAAAATCGGGCAATTGGTTAAGCAACAAGAAGTATATCAAAATGTAAAATTTTAAATGAATAATGAATGTGAAGAGCCAAAGACTACTTAGTACTTAAGATGTAAAGTATAGGAAACCACAGATAGTTTTTCTCCCAGTTTGTTGACAAAGAAGTTGCAGTTAACTACTCGTATTAACTATACACGTACAGACTACAGAATATGAAAAGTTTGTTTTAAAAAAATTAGGTGCACGATTATATTAGTTTCAAAATATAGAAATTTCATAGAATAAAAGATTAAATTATGTGATTTTTAGGACACTTTGACATGACCAAGCCTATATTGTTCTTTTTTTAAGAGCAGCCTATATTGTTCCATAAATACAACAACCTAGTAGAATCCCACGAAAGTAAGGTCTGGGGAGGGTGTGTGTGCGCAAACCCTACCCCTACTCGAAAGTAGAAAGGTTGTTCCATACATAGTGCAAGTAAAACAATAGTTATCGATGGCGCAAATGGTGTCATTGGTGTGCGCCATAAATGCGTCATTCACAAGTTGGCCCCTAATCACCATATATTTGGTTGTGCCAATCGATCATCCCATGGCAACGCCATTTCATCGCCATTTTTAGCTTTTTTGACCCAATTTTTTCTAGACTCTAGTCCAATATATTTGGACCCAATCCAAAAACCCCCTTTTATTGATATTGGTCAATCGTCTCCCACGCAGCTATGCCTTCCACACTTTTGCACTTCTTTATCTTCTTTGCAGAGCCATTGCGACTTCTCTTCTCTTCTCGTAGTCACGGCTGTGATTGGAAACTGCGACCTCCGACCACGCGACTCAAGTACAAGACTTTAGTCCCTAGCCCTCTTTGCATCCAACATGGCGACTCAGGTACAAGAAGACATGCCTTTAGTATCGGATTCAGACAGATGATGATGTTGAGGAATGCCTTTATTATTAGATATTCATATCTTAATTTTCTAGATTGGATCTTTTATCAACTTAATTCTGAATTAACTTTTGAGTTTTGCTTAAGTTGTTTTTTTATAATACTAGCACCTTAGGATGTTTTGGAACAATATTTTGGTTGTGTTTTTATTTCCAACATGGCAATTTAGATCATTCTACTCTATTATTTTTATTTGATTTATGGCTTATATATTTTTGAATTTAGTTAATTGATTGTGAGACTTGTGTCAAGTGGCGATACCATACTTGCGCCATCGCCATCACCATGATTATCGCCATGTGTCATGATAACTATGAGTAAAACTGAATGGAACAAAAAAAGGTTGGTTGTGTTGTCATCAATACGAAAGACAGAAAGAAAGTTGTGTGCTCGTAAAAGTCAACGTGTAAGAAAAGGTGAGTTTGTCTACAATGGGGGGGATGGGGGGTTGCGGTTTAGAAAGGGATACTGATAAAACAAAGCATCTAAACCGACATCATTATGACTAATCTGTGTACCTAAGCCATGTTTGTCAACATTTGGATACATATTTGGGTGCACCTCGATGCACCCAAGGTGTACCCGTGTGTGGGTACTTATACTAAATGGAATATGTATGGTTAATAACAGTTTACTAATGCTCACATAGTCATGATTTTCAGCTGACATTTCAGTTTTGTGTATGCCTTCATTTTTAATGATTCACTCTTTCCATTTGTTCCTCCCAAGGCTACAGTCAAAGTAGAAATCATTGTCTTCCTTTCTACTACATACTTCCATGAAAGGCAAGAGGCGGCCACGGCCAGTCAAGAGGTGAAGAACGAGCACGGCTTGCTTACACAGATTAGTCATAATGATGTGGTTCAGAAAATTTCAGTGGTGAAGAATTTTTCAGGCACGAAGGTACATAACTTGTTTGGCAGTGAATTTTTCACACTTGAAAGATAAGTTTCAAAGTTTGTCTTCTTTGTCTAGATGCTAATTTCGCTCAACTCAGAGTTGTGGTTAGAAAGTTATGATCATGCAAAGTTGATGATGCCATTCTGCCAGAATCCAGATTCGTGCCGACCCTACTGTTTTGGTTCTAGATGTAGTAGATGGAATACAAAACTTTCCCAATGCTTCTAAATTTTGTGTGTTAAAGGACTTCATTATCTAACCTTGAGAGATGGAATAAATTCATTCTAATCTTTGATGACCACTCCCCAACTTTCCATGGGAGTGCAAAAGTGCGAGGACACTTTTTTGAAGAAGGGGAGTGTTATATATCGAATACTCGAATCCATGACATCATAAATCCCAATATAAAAAATACTAACCTTATATCTTATACATAGTGAATCTTATTCATTTGAAACATAACATAAAATACTATGTTTTCCCACATTTTTGTGATCTTGGCCGAAAATCCCTTTAATAAGTCCAAATGTATACTATGTTTTTAATCTTTCATTGGAAGCTTTTCTACTACAAGTACACTTCCAAATTATCCTTGGATACTTCTAAACACCCCTGGTCGGGATAGACTAAGGAAGAACATCCAACACGCCATTTGAAATGAAAAAGAAGCCCACGTGATGAATAGTAAGTCAACAAAAACAATAGTCTTCAGGGACAATGAATTGTTACAAGGTTTTTTTCATGTTTTACTGCTAAATTAAAAAAAAAGTAATTCCCTTGAACATTATTACTAGCCAAACTTCAAGATGAATGAGGACTAGAAGACAAAATTCTTGAGTGAACAGTGAGTTGTTCTTATAAAAGTCTTTGTCTGATTTTACTGCCCTTGTTGTATTTTAAAGTGTGTTGGCAGAAATTTCATATGGATACTAGACTGATTTTTCTTGTTTTCATACCTAATACATCATTATGAAGATTGGGAATATTTCATAATAAATAGGAGTTGAACCTAGGAATAAAACATTGAGAATTTGATGAATGAAATATGTGTTTTCCTCTATGAGTGAAATCTAAAATAGTGTGATACTAATTTATTCAAATACCTAGTTTATACTCTGTATATCATAAGAGTGAGGGTTAGGTTCTAGATTTTAAATTAGGTGTGATTCTTAATAGAATTCTAGAGTAAACCCTAAGTGAGATTTGTATGAATATAATATCTCACATTCAAGCTTACTTTATCTCTTGTCAAGAAAACTCTGTAAAAATATTTATGTTCTTTAAATTCCTGCACAATTATTATCATCCCTACCTCCACATAAAACATTGATACAATACTCCCACCAGAGTGAGTAACCGCACGCTGCTGACCTCACCCAGCCATTTTTAGCTTAAATATCTACCTTTTTGTATTAGTATTGAATGCATAGAAATCAGATCAATGGCATGCAATCTTAATTTCATTTGCTTCACTAAATTAAACCAAAATATTAAAGAGCTCTTTAAATCTTCGAAAAAGAAAAAAACACACTTTGATACAAAATATTAAGATTTTTAAAAAGAGTGATGACTTGCTGATCGTAAAAACAAAAAAAATACTCCAAGTTGTAAAAAAATCTTTTTTTAATGTAGGCAACTGAATACGGAGTAGTCTTCAACGAGCAAATGAAATACAATTAATATTTACTAGCATTAATCTATCATGTAATTCACTGTTGGTACTCGAATTGCCCATTATAGTAAAAAATAATATTTCAATTCAAACTCATTCGTTGATGCAAACCTACGCGAGCTAGTGTGTATGTAGATGCACAGAGAGAAAGGAAGATTGTACCTAGAATGATATCGGAAGGCGGAGGAAGACGAGAGGAGGCGAGCTCGGAGGACCACGGGATGACGAAGCCTGGAGAGCGCCATGGATCATCCGCAGATTCGATTTCCTCCAAATCTCTATCAATACGAAATCTGTGGAATCTGGGAGTGGGGAATGGAGGGAGATTCAAGACTATAGTTGATTGATGGAGAAGAAGAATAAGAGAATGAATGATACCAGACGGCAACGGAGCGCAGCAAAAGCACGGGCCTGACCCGCTGGGGTTGTTGGGCTTCAATTGCCTTGAAATAAAAAATTTGATCTTTTCTCATTTGATATAACAGAAAATTACTTACGGGTGACGCGAGTTTTGTCGAAATAATTCTCAGGTCCATCTATTTTCAAAAAGACAACTAAGGTTCTTATATTTTGTTGTAATGACTGGAAGGGGACATTTCATCCAACATTTCATCCATAAGTGTTAATAAATGTATTTTTTTCCTATTTTTCCATTACCGTTTTTTCCTATTTTGCCATTACTCGGTTTTTTCTTTTTTATAAAATATTTTTTTCATTTATTTTAATATAATACAAACAATTTTGAATTTTTATCCGATTTTATAAAAGAAATTCTAAAATAACACTTTAAAAAGAGTAACAAAAAAAGAAAAATAAAAATATAAAAAAAGGAGCGACCTAAGATTTATTATCTTAAAATATTTAGAAAAAAAGGAAAAAAAATACATTTATTTACGTTTATGGATTAAATATTGGGTGGAATGTCCCCTCCCAGTCATTACAACAAAATGTAAGGACATCCGTTGTCTTTTTAAAAATAAAGGAACCTGAGAGTTATTTCGACAAAACCTGCGTCACCCGTGAGTAAATTTCTGTTGATATAATATAACTATATTTAAAGTTATTTTTGATCTGATCTGATTCAGTTTGATCTGATTCCAATGAGAATAATAATAAATAAAAGAAATTTGTTGGAAAGAATATGACCTAAGAGCAAAAGGTGATCTAATTTTAAATTTTTGAATCGTCCAAGTTTTAAATTAGTGTCCGGGGCTAAAAATTCTGATATAGGCTGTGTTTCGAAAACAACTTTTTTGGTAGCTTTTTGGCTATTTGAGTTATGACTAATTGAATCGCCAAAACCACTATTTAGCTAATACTCCCTCCATCCGGTAATTTTCTTCCCGTGTTGACTTGGCACGCCTATTTAGGACTATTTAAAAATAAATAAAGGTTCCAAAAAACCCCTAGTTTAAAAGGAAAAAAAAAGCAAAACAATAAAGTTAAGGGATGAGGCTGATTGGCGTTTCATTTTCCCAATACAAAAAAGGATGGCACATTCATTAAACACAAAAATTTGGTTTACTCCCTCTACTTTTCCTTCCATTACAAAAAAAAGTTCTTCCCCCCCCCCCA